GGGGGGAGAGGGGGGGTTGCAACTCAAACAGGAACAGTGCCCGGAAGGGAGGGGAGGAGAGATTCGGGAGCTTTGTCTTCAAGGCCACCCAACTCCTAAATCCTGTCGAAGATGTCAGACTCAGAAGGGAGAAGACAGAAGCAACTCCCGTCCACCCCTCCCTTTGCTTCCCTCTCTAGTATTTAGTGAGCGCCTACCACGCACCAGATACTGTTCCTCACAGCAACCTGATGCCGTAGGTACTGCCCCTTTCATGCTACAGGTGAAGAAAATGAGGCCCAGAGAGGTTAAGTCACCTATACAGGGTTACACAGCATGGTAGACACCCAGGGAGGACTGGAACCCAGGACTTCTGGTTTTAGTTACTTCTGCTTCCCCATCAGACCGAGGCAACTCTCAGCCAAGAGCTAGGAGGACAGAAAGTCAGGATTTCAATGCCTGTGCCCTGCAGACTCAATGTTGGGCCTCCCCCTCTCAGTAGGACAGGCAGCCTTGCACGCATTGGCTGCTAAACAGGGTGCATGGGAACATGGTCCTGACAGTCATTCTGCAAACATGCCGACAGCCGGCCAGGCACCAGCTGTGACGGGTTCACTCACCACAGATTTGTTGGGCAGCTGGTATGTGCCGGGCGCCATTCTAGATGCTAATTCTGACTTCAGGGAGCTTGTAGTCTGGGAAAGAGAGACAGACACGCCCATCAGCTGGAAAGCCCTCCCATATGTGCTGCAGTGGGCGGGGGTGGGGTTGGGAGCATTAAGAGGCCTGAATGACCTGCATCTGGCCCGAGTGATCAGGCCACTGCTGGGGGAACCTTGGGCCAGTTACTTAACCTCTCTCATCCTCCGTTTCCTCATCCGTAATATGACTTTTGTGAGGACTTCATGCGGAAATGCAAATCAAGTGCTTAGCATGGTACCTGACACAGACTAGTAAGCATTCAATAGATTTGAGGTACCCACAGCTCTCCAGTTCTCCCTCCCAACCAGAGTGCAAGCCCCATGAGGGCATGAGCCGGGTCTACCTGCTCACTGCTGGATCCCAGTGCCGAGACCTGAGGCTGGCACGCAGTAGGTGCTCAGGAAATATTTGTTTAATGAGTGCATAGGGAAAGGCTCAGAAGAATTGGGAATGTTCTAGTTGCCCTGGGGCTGTCCCTGCAGCCCTCTTCCCACCTGGGCCCCTCTCCACCTCCCCACACTCAGGAAACACCCCATTCCTTCATCAGGGAGAGCTGCCTGCTGCCCCACAACCACTCGTCCTGCACAGCTGGGGACTTCCATTCAGCTGTCAGGGTACACATCTCACATGCAGAACCCACCTCACTGCTCCCCCCAAGGCCAGATTTCCTGCTGTCCCTGAAGCTGCTTCCTTGTGTGACTACAGGGCAGCCCCGGGACTCACTTCCCTGCTCCCCCCTCCCCATGTCAATACCAGCTGCTTCCCTGGGGGAAACCAGTCTTTTTCAGATGGAGGGATGGTCCTGGGTGCCCTGCACAAGGTCACAGTAAGATTTTTCCATACTCGGAGCAGACTGTCTCCTGTGGATGAGGGTCCTTATGGAGAAAGGGGCGGACTATCAGAACGGGGCGCTGTGCTGGAATCTGGGGCTCATGGTGCAACACAGGTGGATGACAGGAAAAATGGAAGAAACGGTGGTTCAGCTCCATTGGGCAATGCTGTGTTTGCTCCAGCTTTGAAGAATATACATGCCTTCTACTGAAGGTCATTTATTCCTTTATCCCTCTGTCATTCAGCAGCTGTGCACCAGTGTCTCCTGTGTTCCGGGCCCAGGGCTAAGGGGTAATGAAAGACAAACTTCCCGTCCTCCGTGAAGGGATGGTCAGCACTGAACAAGCTATTACAAGGGCGGCTGCTTTATGACAAAGTCTCAGGTACTTTGGACTCTGGGAGTCTTTGTATAGTGGTGGGGCGGGGAGCCCTAACACGTCCTAAGGGAGGCTGCCCCAGGAAGATGAGACCTGAAGGCCATGCCCATGAGAGGGATTTTGTTAGAATTCATGTGTTATGGTTGATTTTTAAAAATTAATACATTGTAGCCCTGGCTGGGTGGCTCAGTAGTTTGGAGTGTCATCCTGTACACGAAAAGACTGCAGGTTCCATTCCCAGTCAGAGCACATACCCAGGTTACAGGTTCGATCCCCTGTCAGCATGCACATGAGCAGCAACTGATCCATGTTTCTCTCTCTCTCCCTCTTCCTCTGTCTCTAAAAAAAAAAAAAAAAAAAAAAAAAAAAAAAAAATCAATCAAAACACATCCTTGAGTGAAGACTTTTAAAAAAACAAACACATGGTACATTTTCTAACTGTGCACAGTGTTATATCAAAAACTTAAGACTCACCCACCCTTCTCTCCTGACCTCCCCAGCTCTTTGTTATGAGGCCTTGTGTATCCCCGTAGTCAGTCTATTTGTGTTCAGCATCTATATTTTTCTCTCTCTGAAAAATGTTTTTTTCAAATGGGATTATACTACATCAGAGGAGCTAACCTGGGAGGCTCTCCCCTGCCAAAGGGGCAGCTGGCAAAGTCTGGAGACATTTTTGATTGTCACATCGGAGCAGAGAGGATGCTGCTGGCATCTAATGAGTAGAGGCCAAGGATGCTGTTAAACATCCTACAGTACACAAGACAGCTCCCACAATGGAAAATCATATGGCCCAAAATATCAGTAGTGCTGAGGTTAAGAAACCCTGTTCTATATAAGCACATTGTGTCTGCAGCTTGCTATATACATAAAATTGCAATAGATAGATAGATAGATGGTAGCTTATTCACATCAGCATTTGTAAGTCCTCCCCCATCATTTTTATTTCGGTGTCTGCAGTCTTCTGCTATTGCAAACATTTGTACTATACAGATTGTTCTTTTCCATATACTTGCCCTTGAGTCATGTGTGAGGTCAAAGGATAAATTGATGGAGGTGGCGTGGATGAGTCAGAGGGTTCATTAGCACGTAAGTGACCTGATTTCAAGTCTCTTTGGGGAGGAGTCCATTAGGACAGTGCTTCCAGGGTTCTGGCTGCCAAGCAGGACCAGGACCCTCAGAAGCCTGTGGCAAAGCTCTCTTCATTCTCATCTGCAGACGAGGGGTCCTGACAGCCTGTCTCTCCACAGGACGAGGGTGCCCCCCACCTGAAGACAAGGAGCCAGGCCCTGAGTGATGCCCCGGAGCCGAGTGCCCACGGCCCCACCCTTCCCCATGGAGAAAGGACTTGCTTTGCCCCAGGACTGCCGGGACTTTCTGCACAGTCTGAGAATGAGGAGCAAATATGCCCTTTTCCTGGCTTTTGTGGTGGTGGTTTTTGTCTTTATTGAAAAGGAAAATAAAATCATATCGAGGTGAGGGACGCAAACACAAGTCTTATCAAGGTGGGTCGGGGAGAGGCTGCTTAGGCACCTGTAGGCAATCCTTCCACCCGTGACCACCAGACCTCCTGTGCCCAGCAGTGGTGAGCTCTGGGCTCTGGACACAGGCACCCTGGGTTGGAACGCTCATTGTGGCCCTTTCTAGCTGTGACACTTGGACACGTGATTTCACTTTTCTGTCTTTAAGTTCCTCTTCTCTGAAACATGGCTAATGGTGGGGCCTACCTTATTGTAAAGATTAAATGAAAAAATGTAGTGCCTGGCACATAGTTGGTGTCCAGTACTTGCTGGCTGTGGCTTATTATTAATTAACTTCCTGGCCTAGAATGATGCCTCAAATGAACAGCCCATCCCCTATACCAGAGGTCGGCAAACTGCGGCTCCCCAGCCACAAGCGGCTCTTCGGCCCCTTGAGTGTGGCTCTTCCACAAAATACCGACTCTGCGCATGGGCCATGAAGTTTCAATGTGCGCACCTGCACATGGTATTTTGTGGAAGAGCCACACTCAAGGGGCCAAAGCACTCAAGGGGCCAGAGAGCTGCATCTGTGGCTCGAGCTGCAGTTTGCCGACCACTGCCCTATACCAAGCCAAAGTCATGGGTGTGGGTGAGCCCACAGAGAGGCAGGGCCCTGATATGGATACCCTGGCGAGCAGGGATGCCGGTGTAGCTGCTCAGGTTGTGTATTGCTCAACTCCAGGACAGTGCACTCACATAGGCTACACTGGGAATGCTGCCCCCTAGAGTTCTCAGTGTATGGCTGCATGAAGCGTCCCTGCTAGTGAGCCTGTGCCAGTCATAGATTGCTTAGTCAGTGGTTCTCAACCTTCCTAATGCTGCGACCCTTTAAAACAGTTCCTCGTGTTGTGGTGAGCCCCAATTTCATTGTTACAAATTGAACATAATTAAAGCATAGTGATTAATCACAAAAACAATATGTAATTATATATGTGTTTTCCAATGGTCTTAGGCGACCCCTGTGAAAGGGTCGTTCGACCCCCAAAGGGGTCGCGACCCACAGGTTGAGAACCTTTGGCTTAGATGCTTCCCCAGGCACAACCCCCCCAAGAAAGCATCAACCAAGATGGGTAGGGACTGGGCCGTCAGTGCCCTGCCGGTGTTCCTCCACATGGACCGTTCCAGTTCGTGCCTACAGGGCCTATTGCAAGCCCCTGCCGCTCTTGCCTGGGTGCTCCTCACTCTCCCTGCACACTGGCAAGGCACAAGTACCAGCGGGAAAAGGCCTCGGCCACGGCGGGCAGGGAGCTTCGCCCCTTGGGAGAGAGAGCCCTGAAGTGTGTTCCTTGTCTCCCAGGGCCCCCCAGTCAGAGTGATTTGCCCACAGGAGTAGCCTGTGCATCTTCTATGGACTGTCCTCCTGGCTTCACTTCCCTACTCCTCTACCAGTCTGTCCTGTAACCGTGTCCCAAATCAACTACTTACGCTCCAATCCTTGCCTCAAAGTCAGCTTCGGGGGAACCCCAGCTAAGACAGGCTTTGGGTGGTCAGCCTGGGAGGCTACACAGGGGATGGAGGCCCCCCGTCAGTTACTGAGCGTGGTCTCCCTGTGTCCTCACAGGGTCTCGGACAAGCTGAAGCAGATCCCCCAGTCCCTGGCAGATGCCAACAGCACGGACCCAGCCCTGGTCTTGGCCGAGAACGCATCCCTCTTGTCCCTGAGCGAGCTGGATTCAGCCTTCACGCAGCTGCAGAGCCGCCTGCGGAACTTCAGTCTGCAGCTGGGCTTGCAGCCAGCGGAGGAGGAGGCCAAGGCGGAGGAGGAGGAGGAGGCGGCGGAGGAGGAACAGGGGGAGCAGCCCCCGGGCCCCGCCGAGGCCCGCCGCCGGCGCCACGTGCTCCTCATGGCCACCACCCGCACCGGCTCCTCTTTCGTGGGTGAGTTCTTCAACCAGCAGGGCAACATCTTCTACCTCTTCGAGCCGCTGTGGCACATCGAGCGCACGGTGTCCTTCGAGCCCGGAGGCGCCAGCGCGGCGGGCTCGGCCCTCGTCTACCGGGACGTGCTCAAGCAGCTCTTCCTGTGCGACCTGTACGTGCTGGAGCACTTCATCAGCCCGCTGCCCGAGGACCACCTGACGCACGGCATGTTCCG